ATTTTAGCTTATTAAAGTGAAATGAATGTCATCAGTGTTTAGAAGGGATGGAAAAGGGGAATTTGGAATATTGTAATAGGGGCTATACTACCAGTGAAACAGTATAATAACATTTGAAAGAGAATGTAGATTAGTTGTTAATGTATATTGCAAAATTTGGGTAACGTTTTAGATTTTAGAAGTTTAATACTTTAAAGATACTGCTTCTGGTTTTCACTTTCAGCTAGTTCAGATATTTTTCTGCCTAAAAGTTTGGACTTTTGCCTGACTCTGACCTCCATTTTACCAACCATTATTATATGTAACTAACGTAGTCCTAAGTAGATTTGCAAAAGTTTTAGAATATTGGGTAGGAGTAGAAAGATTTGAAAGAGAGATGTCCATGCTAACTCAGTCTTTTGGCAGAATAAATGTTATCAGGGACATTATTTCTGACTGAAAAAATTTTCAGACCCTTGAATTTTTTTTAATGGTACATTTAGGAAGTGGAGAGCCTTCGGTGGTAGGGCACCAACCTTGATCAGAAAACAGAAGCAATACATGTAGTCAATTTATTGAAAATGTTATCTTCAAAATTACAAGTAGTTTTGTGATAAATGGGCAAACAAGATTTTAGCGGCTTGAGACAGACCAGCTCCAAGGACTAAAAATATAGAACAGAATTTTAGAAAGTAGCATAAGAAATGTTAGTATACAGAGGACCTAATATTTAGTATAATTCTGGGTTCCATGAAAGATAATATTCAGAGCACTTGCTGCTAAAGTAATACCTACTTTCCTTGTATAAGACCTACTTAACAAGCTGAGAAGTAGCAGACTTCATAAAGGTTTTGCCATAATGTCTTTAAAAACAACCACTTAAGGCAAGTGCCGGTGGCTCATGCCTGTGCTCCTAATTACTCAGGAAACTGAGATCTGAGGATCACAGTTTGAAGTCAGCCCAGGCAGGAAAGTCCATGAAACTCTTATCTACAATAAACTACTCAGAAATATCTGGAAGTAGTGTGGCTCAAATGGTTGAGAGTTAAGAGTTGAGCACAATGAGACTCAGGAACATTGCTCAGGCCTTGAGTTTAAGCCTCAGGACCAGCAAAAAATAAAAACCAACAAGTTGTTACCTGTGTGACAAGTTTTGGTGGAGGAATTTCCTGAAACAACTTTGTTGTAGCTTCATAATCCACATCAAAGTGGAAAATTCAAACTAAAAAAAAAAAAAGAAAGCCATGTGCATGAGTTTATTCTCTTGAATGTCTTTATTTCTACTGGGGTTATTGCCTGAATTCAGTTTGACAACCATAAGAAAAAAGATTTAGGGGAGTGGTCTGAGAATGAGATACTGGTTAAAGGATACAAAATGACAGCTTGAATAATTCTAGAGATCTATTTACCATATGGTAACTATGGTTTGTAATGTATTCTATACTTAAAATATGCTAAGAAATTTGATTTTATTTCTAAGGAGTTTAGATCTTAAATATTCTCATAAAAAAGAACAAGACCCATAAGTATGAGGGGTTACACACACATACACACACATCAGTCTAATTAATGTGTAGCACACATATTTTAGTATATTGCATATATGTGTATATTGCCTATATAAAAATTATACCTGAATAAAGTTGCTGAGGTAGAGAAAAATGATTGTTTTTTAAATCCACATAAATTTTACTAGGCCATTTCAAAATACTATTTCATGAAAACATTCCTGAAAGAATGTGTATATATAGCTTCTTGGAATATAGACCAAAAGACTGCACTGAAGTCAAATGATTTTGTGTCTGTTTTTAGGTTTTGGAAGTACTGGGGTTTGAATGTAGGGCTTCAAGCTTGCTAGGTACTAGGTGCTCCACCACTTGAAGCCTTGCTCCCAATCCAAAGGAGGCCACAACTAGATGTTGAAACAGCCAAGTCTTTACCCTCTCAGATTTTATGGGAGAAGCTACAAATTTTAGAACCCAGCCCTAATTGACAGGGTTGGTGCAGACTATTTTATCTCTAAAGGAATTTAATAGCTATATGGTCCCACATATTTATATGGCAGAGAGCTGTTGGAGGGAAATAGAAATGGTGAGTATTTTGTTAAAATAAAGCAGGGCTATTATAGAAGTTAAAATATTTACAGTTAAGATATACTATTGCCCAAAAGAAATTGAGATTTTTTAAAAATACATTTCCCTTTTATATATTTCTGTTTACCTTTTTCTTCTCATCATTTTCTTTTGTATGATATTAGAGCTGGTAGTAGTATGTCTGAAATTCATGTTGATTGTTCTTCAGAAGAGTGTTCTTGAGGAAAGAATGTGAAGGCATTGAGCCACCCCTAGCTGTAGAAAAACTAGATAGAGGTAGGTCTGTGTTATAGTCACCACAACTTTGAATAAGAAAGTGCAGTAAGCCATGGCCTACTGTATTTGAGTCTATTTTTATGGATTTATTTCTTTACATATTCAGAGGCTTTCACTTCATCACTTTCTCTTCAAGCAGTTCTATTTGAGAATAATATTTATTAAACACATGCAATGTATTTTTTACCCAGTCTTAGAGATATGAGTTGTTTGTGCAAACACGAGAGTATCAGTTCCAAATGAATTTACCATAAAATGAAAGAGTTAGATAAGGAAATGGGCAATTAATTTACAAATACCAAATGAGAAGTTAAGAATTAAGGCCTGGGAAGGTGGCTCAGTGGTAGAGTGCTTGCCTTGCACACATGAGGCCCTGGGTTCAATTCCTCAGCACCACATAAACATAAAAAGCTTGAAGTCGCATTGTGGCTCAAGTGGTAGAGCACTAGCCTTGAGCTGAAGAGCTGAGGGACAGCGCCCAGGCCCAGAGTTCAGGCCCCACAACCGGCCAAAAAAAAAAAAAAGCACCACACACACACACACACACACACACGCACCCATATATGTAATCTGTCTCTATATCCCTCGCTGTCTAGTTTAACATGCTGGCTGCTCCTAATCAAATGAGGGTTTGTGTGTAGTAGGGTAATATTTATAACCTTTATATGTGAGGTATTTAGAAAGCACTTAAGCAAATCCTCAGTAAATTGATCAAATATATTTTCCAATCATCAAGAAATATAATTAGAATTTTCCATGTTTAAAAATTTGAAACTGCAAGTTTTAGAAAATAACACTTTTATTTAGAAGTAAAATAGCTTCCACATTTGCTTTCTTTTTTTTTTCTTTTTTCTTTTTTTTTTTGGGTCTGGTCGTGGGGCCTGAACTCTGGGCCTGGGCGCTATCCTTCAGCCCTTCAGCTCAAGGCTAGCGCTGTACCAATTGAGCCACAGCGTCACTTGCGGCTTTTTTTCCTTTTTGCTTATGTGGTGCTGGGGAATCAAACCCAGGGCCTCATGCATGCAAGGCAAGCACTCTATCACTGAGCTACCTTCCCAGCCCCCCACATTTGCTTTCAACTGATATTTTCTGTTGAAATTAAATACAATAACTGATTATAAAAATAGGTATTGAGAGCTGAGACCATAGCTAAAGTGGTATGGTGTTTGCAATTAGTGTAGCAACAACACTTTGTAATTCTTCAAAAATAAGAGTTGGTAGTTCAAATCAGAATATTACAATCTATGCACAGCTCATTGGTAGAAGGCTTGCCTGGCACATGTGAAGTCCTAGGCTTTATGGCAGGCACCATAATAGTAAATTAAAACTGTTTACAGAATAGTGCAATCAAGAGGTTACAAATCTTATTCCGTTATATAACTGATCATTCCAGTTTTACTGTATTTGATCTAATAATAGCTCCAGATTTATTTGCCAATTTGATTTACAAGTATACCTTAAAATAAGGTTAATGTTACTCTATTTAAGAAGTATAAATGCGGAATATCAACAGAATATGAAACTTTTTCTATATGCAGTATATAAATCATAAGTGGGAAACAGTAATCAATCAGCTACTTTCCTACCAAAGAAAGGCCTAGTGACACAGGGAGGAGGGACAAGGTCCTGGAAGAGTCTGACTGAGGATTATGCTTGGAGGAGGAGTAGGCCAATGGTAGTGAACAGGTTTGGAAGAACAATGGGTATATTTTCCCATCACTGCTGTTCTCCCTATTTCAATTAGACAAACAGTATGTGCCCAAGGGGACAGTGCTCCTGGGACAGGAAGTACTACCACATAGTCCTTCCAGATAGAGTGTAATGAACCTCTGCTTTTTGTTATTATTTTGTTGTTACTGCTATTTGTTATCTGCTGCTATTGTTATTTAACCTTTTCACAGATACATTACTGTTTCTGTGATACTTTTTTTGTAGATTCTCACTCATATCACTTGCTTTATGTTAGCTGTGCTGGGATGTATGTTGACAGGTCAGCACTGTTTACTGTTTCTAGAAAGTATGCATGCTTGTTTTGTGTACCAACCCCCTTCCCAGACGATACACATTATGTCTTCCACTATCCTTTCCACCAAATAGGAAATTTAGATATTCAGAAATTCTTTCTGACAATTGATCTATAGTGGTTTAGTCTAGATTTGGTTTTGCTAAATTTTTCTAATAGCAAAATTTTATTTTTACTATCCTCTAGCCCCAAGCAAAATTTCACATACTTGAGCTCCTTTGCCCTCCTTCATCTAGAGCTTTCTCTGTCTTAATGAAAACATAAATGGAAAGACCTTTTAGTTAGTTATTTAATAAACTTCCCATTGAATTTTGTAAACTTCCTAGCATTCTGTTAGGAACTGTGCTATGGATGGTAGGGGTGATTGAGATACATAAAATATTCTAGAAATAATGTAGGCAAAGATATTTTTACCCAAGGTATGCAATATTTTAATCATGTACTGTAATACTTAGGTTTACAAATTACTTTCTAATGTTCTGTGGCAAAATAGTTAATGGATGCTTTTCTAATCTTATCTTAGATAAGTTCTATTGTCATTAGAATATTTAATTGACTTGCATTGTGAGTCTTGTGTTGGTTGTTAAAGTGTGTCTCAAGCCTAAACCTTATAATATGTTACATTTTAGGTCAGAAGACATGTCTTCATCTACATGGCATCTTTCCTTACCTCTATGTGCCATACGATGGTTATGGACAACAGCCAGAAAGCTATCTTTCTCAGATGGCATTCAGTATCGACAGAGCACTTAATGTGGCTTTAGGCAATCCATCTTCCACTGCTCAGCATGTGTTCAAAGTGTCATTAGTATCAGGAATGTAAGTATATGATAATCTTTTTAACATTTCTTTTTGTTTGTATTTCTTTTGCTGTTCTAACTAGAAGAAACCTTTCATTTGAAATATATATTGCTCTCTTTTAAAACCTCTATTCTAACAAAACAATGGTAAATTTCTTTCTAAAACTTTTAAAATTAAATTTTTATTGCAATGAAAGATAAATGGATAATAGTGGTAATTTGTTTTAGCCTTTCTATTAATTTTTCCTGAAACTGTAGAAATTCATGTGATTCATTCCTGTTATCTTTTTGACTGGCTTATGTGTATCAGGCATTTTTCTAGAAACTTGATGTAGTCAACTTTATATCACTGTAACCAGTGTATGAGATAATTGACATACAAAGAGAAAGATTTATTTTAGTTCATAGTTTCAGAAGTTCCAGTCCATGATTAGTTGGCTCTGTTGCTTTGGTGAGACAGTACATAACTGCAAAAGCATGTAAAATATAGTAAAACTACTTCACTGAGAAAACCTTATTGCCCTATCTTCTTCTTGGTCCTCCACTTCTCAGTTCTAATATTCAGAGAGAATGTTACTTTTGTGTGTGTCTATGTCTACTGTCCTGAGGCTTGAACTCAGGACCTGTCACTGTCCCTGAACTTTTTTGTGCTCAAGGCAAACTGCTCTACCACTTGAGACACAGTTCCACTTCGGGCGTTTTTTGGAGATCAGAGTCTCACAGACTATCATACCCAGTCTAGCTTTGAACCATGATCCTTAGATCTCAACCTCCTGATTTGCTAGGATTACAGGTGTGAGTCACTGGCCACCCAGATTATTTGTCTTTTGATGACAGCCATTTTAGCTGGGGTGAAGTGATTTTTTTTTTAGCTTTAAAAAATTACTTTATTGATGTTTTTGGGCAGGGGTGGGGGGGGAGGATGGGAAGGGATGGGAAGGGGAAACAAAAGAGGAGGCTACAATGCTTGATAAGAAATGTACTCATAGCCGGGCGCTGGTGGCTCATGCCTGTAATCCTAGCTACTCAGGAGGCTGAGATCTGAGGATCGCGGTTC